GAGATAGTGAAGCTAGAAGGTGGAAGATTGCTGAGTAAACTGAGGGCAGAAAGTCTCTGCCAAGAAAAATCAGAATCCAGTGAACAATAACAACAACAAAAAAATTGGTTGTGTTAAGCTACCTAAATTTCAGGATTTCTCTGTGCATAAGCGAGCAGTTGCTTTAACTAATTAATACCCAGAGTTTATTTCTGTTGTTAGGCTTATTTAAACATTTTAATTAAAAAAATAATTGTGTGTATATACTTATTGCAAAATATTCTGAAAATACAGATCAATTACAATTCCCCCGTTTACAAAGTACCCCCAAAATTCAACCCTCTCCTCAGAGGTAGCTACAATTAACAATCTGATGTGTACTATTTTAAAACTGATTTAGGCTTCTCCATAGATATGCTATGCAAAATATATTGTGGTTTTTTTTTTTTTACATTCATGAGCAATGAAATACAAATTCATCCAGCGCCTTTGCCACTTAATAAAATGGATTTAGGGTCTTTCCTTGATAGCACATATAGATCTACCTCACTTTAGTAATTATTCCCTAGAATTCTGACATATGTATATGCCATAATTAATTAAACACTTCTCTTCCTGATAAATACATAAGATGTTTCCCCTTTTATATTATTAATAGAGCTTAAATCAACATCTTAGAACATAAATTATTGGGTAAATGTATTTTCTCATATGAAAGACATTTTAATATGGAAAATTGGATTAAAGTGGTAAGGGTATGAATATTTTAAATTTTTGTAAATATTGCTGAAACTTTATTCTGAATATGCTATAACAATTCATTTTCTCCTAAACTAATGTATTTTAATGCCCTACATGTTCAGAACCATTTTATATTATCAATTTTTCAAATTTTGAGCAAAATTATGGGTTAAAAAAATATTGTCTCACTATTGTTTTGTGTTTCCCATTTTCTCATTAGGTTAAGCAGAAAATTAACTTAATCTGTCATCCATATAAAGGTGGACTTATTTGAGTCTTTTTTCATAGAGGCAGAAGGTCTACGCATGTGGTAGGCTCCACATGAACCAGCATATGTGAGTCTCTGGTACTTAGGTTCATTCACTCACTTGTTCGTTCATTCATTTATTCATCCAGCAGAGGTTTATTGAACTCATGCTCAAGAAAAATAAAATAAATTACAAAGCATTTAATTCAGGCTTTAAATTAGGTTAGGCTGTATTAATAGAGGTGATTTGAAGCCATAGGTTTAGGTAAAATTAGGTTTGTATATATGGCAACCATCTCCTCTCCTGCAAACCAAAATCACAGAAAACTTGATAAATCCATGGAAAAAAATAAAGTACTCATTCAGAAAAATCCACCAAAGAAAAATTTTGTTTTCAAATATGTATATGCACACATACATACATACCCATACGACACCCACACAAACATACACACACATATATATGCCTGTGCCCATGCCTGCGGATCTGTAGTTCACATTATATATACAGTTATACATCGTGAATGACTCAGGTCTCTTTTAAGTGAAAAATTGGTTTCCTTTCCAGTACTCTAATGACCTATGAATTATGAGGATTTCCACTCTAATGAGAACAGGAACTATTCTCAGCCCTGTATGAGTTCCAGAGTTCTCTTACTGTGCAGCAGTCTCTTCCGTAGTATTCTGTCCTGCAAATTCTAGTACCTTGGCTTTGCTGGACTTCCAGCTCCATCTCCTCAACTCAAGGAGACTGATGAGGCTATCCTTCTGTGCACTGTGGCCTGCATTTTCTTTCCAGGAAATAAAATGGGGTATCGTAAGACTTATCTCATTTGTTTTCCATTTCTTAGAGATCACTGTTCTTCATGGCCTGATGTCCGATAAATTGAAAATTATTGTTTTATAAATTGTATCTGGGTTTTTAGGTATACGAGGGAGGAGTTCAGTTCCTACCACGCC